AAGTTTATGCAATTTGCTGAATTACTCATTCTTGACTTTCTTTCAATTCTCTCCAAATTCTTGGAATCATAATGGAATTTAGAATTGAGCATTGCTCTGTAATAAAGCCCAATATGTTAAAAATTGTATTTCAATATGTTGAGTAGAGCCCTACTCATTTTAAATAATAAATGTATTTTGAAGGTTTTTAGAAAAATGGAGACTAGATCAAAGCAAATTATGGAGGGTCATCTTACATTTCAGGGATTTCAGTAGTAAATATACATCAAATTGTTTACTGAAGATAGAATTAAAAATAAATGTAGCTCCTTGTCCCATGACAGAGGCTCTAGTTCAAGGAAAAAGTACTGTTCAATTTCTCTTCTCTTCCTGACATGTTCTCAGATGCTTGATTGAATACTATCTCTTGGTCATAAACTCAACTTTAATATTCATTTTGCTCCTTGGAGAATTTTTTCCAGACCTTGACTAAGTTCCTTTCTCTCCCTAAAAGACAATCATCCTGGTTGCATTTAACTAAACCTATTCTACTTGAGAGTTTTGTGTATGCTTTGGTTATATATTCAATTGGTTCTCCCTATGATTATGGAAAAGTATTTAATATCATTATTTTCTGATGCCTGTCACCAAGTGTCTTCTCATGGAAGAATCAGGCTGATATCTCTGATCTAATGCAGTGATGTAGAGCTTGAGAAAAAGATGTATGTTGGTGAATTACTTTATGCCTAATGGCATTTTTATATCTCATTTTCTTGCATATTATCTTTATAATAATCCTTGATATGTTTTTAGACTTTAGGTAACTTTATAAGATCTTATATTATGTAATATTTAATTTCTTGTGGAAAAAATTGGAAGGACACCCTACCTTAAAGAAATGACTACTGAAAATGATACAAGAATGTTTAATCCATCAAGCAACTTGCCAAATATCATAACTTTTGCAATTTATTGAGTCAGGCTTTGAGAATGAGTAGATTATCTTTAATGGTTTGTTTAGTCATTTGCTATTCTGTTGCTATCTATAAAATATTAAAATCCCCTCTCAATTTCCTCTGCTTCCCAACTTCCTTATTGTTGAATAGAGATCTTTTATAAATAGTTAATTAGTTTTGATTATGTCTTAACAGAGATATACCGCTTCTATTTCATGGTGACCTTTTTATAATTGAACTAGTTATTTTAATTAATTATTTGAAAGAAATAATAGGGCATATGTTAAACTTTACCCTATTTTTCACAGTCCTTTCATAATTTTCTAAGACAACTGTCACTGTGATAATCTATATCAGTAGGCCAACAACTTAAAAACTAATACTCAGAGGACACCTGCATAGCAGGCTATTTGATCAATCTGAGGCCAAGATTTTAATCTAGCATCAGCAATATTTCTTTTCATTCCATGGTCTTGGTTTTATAACTCTCTGGGTGTTTTTTTTTTCAGGCTAAATATATTTCTATAAATAATGCATAACATTTTTTCCCTCAAACTCACCTACTCTAAATTTTAAAAATTCCAGTGGAGCTATTGGTGTCTTCAAGACAAAGTCTGAGGTTATAATTAAGGTACATAATCTGGTAGTATTCAAATCTGAGTTTAATCTATTTCTTTATTTGTTCTATTTTTCTAACATCATGTTGCTTCTAATTACATGATGAGGTCATTGAAATTAAGTATTTCACATTTTGTAACTTGTAGGTTTATGCCCAATTAGAAGCATTTCTGTTCCAGGATTTTCAAAATGAAGGAATTCTTTGAGGTTAATTTAATAAATATACCTGGAATTGATACCTCAAGATTTCTTCAAGCTAGATAGAAACTTAACTGAGGAGCCAAATACATTCTTAAAATGACTTAAGATTTATATTGCATAGATATTTTCTGGAAAAAATCAATTTTATCTAAGATAACACCCAGATCTAAAAAGGGGAGGGGATGTTTTAATGTACAGATATGTAAAACATGCATTCACCAAGCGTCTTTCAGTTTAAAGTGGTAGATTACCTTTAAATTAACTTAGATATCAATTAGAGTTTATAAGTTATCTCATCGCCTCAAAGGAAGGTTTAAAAATAAGAAGGGCAGGAATGGCTTCCAGAACATGTGGAAGCCAAAACAATAACCTCAGCATGCTCTCTCTTTCCCCCTCGCATGTTGTTGCTTTCTGCATGACAACTCCATTTCCCCTGACTGCAGCCTGGCTTCCTTCATGTGTCAGGAGACGGCTGCTGATGTTTTCCAAGTTAAACATCTTTGGCTTTTATTGTTGACTAGAGGCCCAGTATATGAAATTTGTGCAAGGGGCGGGGAGGGGGGCAGGGAGGTTGTCCCTCAACCCACCCTGCACCTTCTCACAATCCAGGACCCCTTGGGTAGGGTCCCTCGGCCTGGCCAGCGATCAGGGCCTATGGGGCTTTCCTTCTCCCGCTGCAGGAAGCTGGCCCCACCCCCGCTGCTGCCACTACTTGCCATCTGTGCAGCACTGCCGCCCCCTCCCCTGCCACCGGTCGCCTCCCTTTTGCCATTGGTCGCCTCCCTCTGCAAGCAACAGGCATGGGGTGAGATCACTTGGCTGGCCTGGGCCTGGCTGTAGGGTAGCTGCCCTCACAGTGAGGATTGTTTACTCCTCAGGCACATCTAGGAGGGCAGCCAACCAGTGGCATGTGATGTTGGCTTATACCATCTTGCAATAGTCAGTCATGCTCCTCTATTCCAAATTCTGCATTTAGTGATCTCATGTTGGTAGCTTAAAATTGGCTATAGGGGAATATTGATACCATGGAAATTGGCAAATGCTAGAAATCAGAGCATTTTTTTTTTCTTTCAGAGAACTGGTTGTTATATTTACCAGTACACTACTGTCTACTTCAAGTTTCTAACAAGGGTCTTGAAACTTATTTTAACTGAATTGGCTTAGGTCACATGCCCCCCAACCTGCCTTGAAGCAAAACCTATGGCCAGGGGACTTGAAATTACAACATAAATGTATATAATAATTTCTTTAATTTATAAGAGTGTTCTGATAGCAAACAGGTAGTCTGGTTTCAGAGTCCACCATGTCATAGCATGCAATTATATAAAATATTAAAATTTAGTTTCTCAAAGCCTGACTCAATAAATTGAGAAAATTATAATATTTGTTCAAGTAGGAAATGAAAGACTCTAAGCCTAATTAGTCACAAGGAAATGCAAATCAAAACCACAGTGAACTACCACTTCAAACCCACAAGGATGGCTATAATAAAAAAGACAGACAATCATAGTGTTGGTAATTATGTGGGAAATTGGAACCCTCATGCATTTCTAGTGGTGTGGTAAAATGGTGCAACCTCTTTGGAAAACAACCTGATAGGTCCTCAAAAAATTAAACACAGAGTTGCCATACAAGTCAGCAATTCTACTCCTATTATATACTCAAAATAATTGAAAACATATCCACACAAAACCTTGTATATGAATGTTCATAACCATATTATTCATGATAGCCAAAAGCAGAAACAAATCAAACGTCCATCAGCTGCTGAATGGATACACAAAATGTGGTCTGTATATGCCATGGGATACCATCCAGCCTCGGAGATAATGCAGTATTGACCCTATGCTACAACAAGAATGAACTTCAAAAACATTATGTTAAGTAAAAGCAGCCAGTTGCAAAAGGCCACATATTATATGATTCTATTTATTCAAAATGTTCAGAACAGACAAATCCATACAGACTGAAAGTAAGTTAGTACAGAGTTGGCTGCCTAGGGGTGGGGAGCAGTAAATAGGGAGGGGTAAGTGGGGAGCTATTTTGAACAGGTACAAGGTTTCTCTATGGGGGATGAAAATGTAGTTTGGGGGAGATGTCAGCTATCTAAAGGGACTGTCAGCTGGTAACACCTTCCCAAAGGGCCATTTGAGAAACCTGAAAAAGACTTACTCCAGTACCAGAAACTCGACTTCTAAAAATGTATTCTAATGAAATAATGAGAAACTTCCACAAATATTTATGTACAGAATGTTTGTTTCAACAGCATTTTTTATCACAAACAGTGGGAAAAATAGAATTATCAGTCCTAGGGATTAATTGAACACAGAATGGTGCATCAATGTGTCAGAATTTGCTATATCTACTAAATTTAATGTTTTAGAAAAATATTTAATCACATAAAACTGCATGTGTTATGTTATTTTTGGTTAATAAAAATTGAGTTATGCAAGAGCATGTTCAATATGATCCCAATTAATGTTTTAACAGTATAATTAACATATAAAGATGACTGCATAAGTTGTGGTAATAAAAGGCTTTATAATTTTTGTTTATTCTGGGGTTTTTTATTTCTCTTTAGGGTGGGTTGGAACTTATTTATAATTAGAAAGCAAAATGATGATATATATTTTATAATCACTGAACTCAAGCTAATATTGATTGTATGAACATTTATAACCATTGTTCAAAAAATATTAAGGCATTTCTAATTATCTCTCTGGTGGGAGTTCTTAATCTGTACATAGCTCAAGTGAAAACCGGGTTTTTCAGGAGCAGCCCTGTGGGCATTTGGGGCCAGGCCACCTTTGCTGTGGCTTCAGGGCAGGGGCATGGGGCTGCCCAGAGCATTGCAGCATCCTTAGCAGCATCCCTGGCTCTACCCACTCCGTGCCAGTGCGTACCCCCGCGCACAGCAAAAAGTGTCTTCAGGTACTATTGAAGGTCCCTGGGAGGCAAAATTGTTCCCAGTTTACAAGCACTGAATTAAGGAACCATTTGATAAAGGAAGAAAATTCTGGGTTATTTCAAAGTGGATTTATCTGTTGTGAAGTTCTACCAGTACCTGTGTCCTCACGCCTGTGCTGGTTTTGTCACTAGGGTAAACCTCAGGAAACCAATTAAATAGGGACTTACCATTTCTATGTAAGTTGCATTAATCTTCATTACATTTTTGTTTGGTGTTTACCGCATTGATTGTTTATGTTGCTTCTGATTAAAATGCTGGTTGTTCCGTGCTTCCTACAGCTCGCTCAGCCGTAACGGGAAGCTGTGACAATGACGGCCTGCACATTATCAGGGGCCACAGCGTAGCCTCCACACCTTTTGCTACCGTGTGTGGTGATGAGGTCCTGTCTCGTATTACCATCTCTGGTCCAGTGCTGCTTAACTTCTACTCTAATTCGCACACCACCGACTTCGGATTTAAGCTTTCCTACCAGATAACCTGTGAGTAGCCATAATAATGTGTGAAATATTTTTCTTGACTAATGTCCTCAGGAGTTTTAATTGTGATTCATAAATCACCAATTTGAAATTCAAAGACTTTAAGGGTAAAAATGATCAGTTAGGTTCATGGTCCAAAAATACTTAGACATTTTTATTTTTTAAGAAATGGGGAGCTCTTTTTCATGAATTTTGGCTAGAGCTACTCTTTGAAAATCAAACGGAAGGTTGAGATTTATTTTGATAATTTAAGTTAAAATGAACATTCCTGCTATCTTTAGCTGTTTGGACATTACTTTGAAGTGACGTTTTTGGCCTGGACTATCCAGATGCCTATTTCATTTCATCAGTTTGCTAATGTGAAAAGCAATATTGGCCCTGGCCAGCTGGCTCAGTTAGAGCATCAGCCTGTACACACACACACACACACACACACACACACACACACACACACAAGATTGAGTGTTCGATTCCTGGTCAGGGCACATATATACCTCAGTTGCAGTTCGAACCCTGGTCGGGGCTCATTTGGGAGGCATCCTATTGATGTTTCTCTCTCTCTCTCTCTCTCTCTCTCTCCTTCCCATTCCTCTCTCTCTAAAAATCTATAAAGATGTATCCTCAGGTGAGGATTATTAACAAAAAGAAAAGCAATTTGTATAAATTTAAGAAAAAACTAAAAGAATATCTTTATGGTCTTCTGGTAGGATTTTTTTCAACAACATACAAAAAGCGCAGGCCTTAAAGCAGTGGTTCTCAGCCTTTCTAACGCCACCACCCTTTAATAGAGTTCTTCATGTTGTGGTGACCCCCAGCAACATACAAAAAGGGCAGGCCGAAGCAATGGTTCTCAACCTTCCTAATGCCGGACCCTTTAATAGAGTTCTTCATGTTGTGGTGACCCCCAACCATAAAATTATTTTCGTTGCTACTTCATAACTGTAATTTTGCTACTGTTATGAATCATAATGTAAATATCTGATATGCAGGATGTATTTTCATTGTTACAAATTGAACATAATTAAAGCATAGTGATTAATCACAAAAACAATATGTAATTATATATGTGTTTTCCGATTGTCTTTGGCGACCTCTGTGAAAGGGTCGTTTGACCCCCAAAGGGGTTGCGACCCACAGGTTGAGAACCGCTGCCTTAAAGGGAAAGGAAACATTGATAATTTGCAGCTTCTCATGTCAAAGTCAAAGTGAGAAGACAAGTAATCACTGGGCAAAGGCCTCTGTGGCTACCAGGATCTTTTAATTCTTTAAAGACAATTCAACCTGCTTATTTGAAAATCATGAAACTATATTTCCCTATTTTGAGTAGCCTTTTCTTCTCTTGCAATAAACTTGGTTGGTTAGTTTCCTGACAGTGTTTTTTCCCACTTCATTCATATGAGACTCTACTAGTGGCTGTGTGGAAGTTTGCACACAGTGTTTTAGAAAAATGAGGGATTAAAAGCTAAAAGAATATAAAGCAATGATGTAACTTTCCAAAACACCAGTTGTACCAAAAGAATAAAACAAATAATCTATTTCTTTATCAATAAGACAACTGGGGGGATGCCCATTGCTCAGTTCTATTCTGGTTGTGCCAACAGACCTACAAAGCCACAGACAATAACACTTTACAAATGGGGTCAGGACTCAGGTAGCAGCTCACATGAATGAACTGTGAAGGCCCTTTATCATGAGTAAGTAAATATTCCAGTCTTCTCTGTGGATGGGAACAATAATTTATTTGAAAGATAATTATTTAACTTCCTACTTTTAGCAATGGGTTTGGCCAAGTAAAGACAAAACACAAAACAATATACTTTTGCAAGATCTCTGTTCCCCTTTCACTAATGTTGGGTGAATAGAGAGTTTTGTTGATAAGATCTCAAATCCTGACATGTACAAATTTGGGGGTTATTTAGGCTTTGATAAGCGTCCAGAGGCCACATAATTGTGTACAAGATGAAATCTGACATTTAATTCACTCCATACGCCCACAGGGGTCTGAGAACATGCATACATATGGAGAGTAGCTTTCCCTGAAAAGTGGGCTCAGCGGAGGTGAAATACATCAATAAGCAAACAGCCTTACATGGCAGCCACCATTTGTTTCTCATTTCTAAGAGATACAAGTAGAAAATGTCCATTGATAGTTTATAAACCATAGAGATAACATCAAAATATACCAACCCCATTCTAATTTTAGAATCACATAATAAAATAAACATAAACCTTTCTCACTGTAATAATGGGAGGGCATTTTCCATCATTAAGAGGCACAACCTGATCCTCCTTATATGTAAGTCCAAGCAGAAATAATAATTTTATATTAAAAACAATAGGTTTATTATAATATTATGACTGTTGGTTTATTGACTAATTGGAGTAACTAAGAGCTCTGGGCAGTTGAGTGCTGGGGTCCGGCTGGGGTGGGCCTGGCCTCTTCATGCTGCTGAGCGCCAGTAACAGCAATGTGGGCAAGTAGAATCCCTACCAGCCTCACGCTAAATAGAAATGCATAGGACCCAGGAGCTATGAATTTGGGCCCACAGAGGGAACTACGCTCAAATGTTCCAAAAATGATCTCCAGTACTTCACTTTCTAATAGCCTATCTTTGACAGAGGAAACTCGAATCGATATTGAAGATTTCTAGTGGGCAGACCTTCCTGGGTTCATATGCCCACAATGTTCCTTGGATTCTGTTTGCCTTTTCTACATTTCCAGTTATCACTGTCATCCCTCTGAGCCTATGAATTAAATATAGAGAATGGACAGTTACACCCAACACGTGAAATGTTTCTCCTCATTGTTTTCACTCTGGCCATTAATTTGACTCAGACTTATTCCATCCAAGATGTGCCTTAAATATTCTTCCCTGCTTCTCACCATACTGTTTCCTCCTTCTGCCTTGGTAGAAAAATCAGAATTAATTGTAAGCACACTGAAGGGAGCTTTAAGTTGCTTTAAGAAAAAAGTAATAGTTATCTCTCAGGAGAAAAAGGTACAGTAGTAAAGGTTATTTCAAAACTATTTTTCCATGGTGCGAGTATTAATTGTTCTCTGCATATGCCCATCTTTCATTGCAGCCTGTGGTGGTGTGTTCAACTTCTCCACTGGAATCATCAAAAGCCCTGCCTATTCATACTCAGACTACCCTAACAACATGTACTGCTTGTATAACATCACTGTGAGAGACAACAAAGTGATTCTGCTCAAGTATGTAAGACAAATTCACCTTCTTAAGAAAACCGTTTTAGCTTGATTTACAGCTAGGCTTTCCTTAATAATGGAGAGCGTCGATTCTCATCAGAACATAGAAGGGAGGAAGGGAGATTGAGGTCCTTGTGGAAACCTGGGAAACAGGATTTTAGCTTGATTTACAGCTAGGCTTTCCTAATAATGGAGAGCATCGATTCTCATCAGAACATAGAAGGGAGGGAGGGAGATTGAGGTCCTTGTGGAAACCTGGGAAACAGGCCTCCTACCCTCCACACAGGCCAGTAGCGCATGGTTACCAGGTAAGGAAGAAAAACAGGCACTCCACCCGTTAAAATGACTGCTATAATTTTCTAACAGTTTCAAAGGAGCTTATAATGGGTGTAAAGTTATAAGACAATCTTGAAATCCAAGGGTAAGAGAAAGAGTTTCCAGTTGTTGGGCACTTATACACACAAAAAAACCTTTAACACTTTCCATAATTCTGTTATTCATTTCTTAAAACAGGCATCTAAGGTATATATTATTAATCTTATTGTATTGATAAGAAAACTGAGGCTCCAGAAAAGTTAAATAACTTTCCCAAAGTGATGCACTATTAAATGAAGGGTCAATATCTGAATCCATGTCAGGTCTCCTCCCCATACCATGTCTCTGGTATATTCCTGTGCTATCTCTGAAAGGGTAAAATTTCTTCTAACTACTTAAGAAGTGTATTTTGTGTATCAGAACACCTCTAAGTTGGTGCTATTCAAGATATCTCACATCAGTGGAATTTTCCCTAATCCTACTTTCTCCCAAGTCTGATGAAGGGAATGTAGCCTCCAGTTTTCCAGTGATAAAGTCCCACATTGCTTTCATCTAAATGGGTATTCAGGAATATACAGTTTGCGGTAGGAAAATCTGAGGGGTGGCAGAGTTCGCAGCAATATAGAACTTTTATAGGAGCTTGATGGGCTAGGACCACTTCTACCCACCTCCCCCTAAAAATCATAAAGTCTCTGCAATTTACCTCCAGAGGCCTCGTGTACCAGATGGGTCCATGGACTGTAAGACAGGTCTCATCAAGCTTGATTTGGTTCCTGTGTCAGACAGCGAGTGGTGTATAGGCAGGGCCTTGAAGGAAACTGCAAATCTCACCGGGGACGATTGGTAAGGAAGCTGTGCCCCAGAGCCAAAAAGTCCTTTAAATCCTAGGAACAAAAAAACAAACAAAAAAGAAAAAAAAAAAAACATTGCCAAATGACCAGTGAAGGAGGCCTGTGAAGGGATGGTCTGCCCAGAATGGAAGCATAAGGAATGGTTCTTGCCATTTGCCATTATAGCCCAACACTTGTTTCTTACATGTATAGGATTATGGTGTGTGTGTGTGTGTGTGTGTGTGTGTGCATGTGTGTGTTTTTCTTTCTGTTTCCTGCCTGGGCTCTGGGCCTCGCACTATATCAAAGTTTATATCACCATGTTTGAAAAATTAATTATTGTAATATTTCTGAGACTACTGTCTATGAAACAGATATTATTCTAGTATTCTTGGTGCTGCAGAAGTTGTAGACATTAGTAAAACATACTTCCTTGTAGGAAGGCTCTCAAAATATGCCATGGGCTATTCCATGGGATTTCTGCCCATGGGATTTTTCCAGGAAGCTTCTCTGCTCTTTTGGGAAAATGGTGCAAAATAAAAAGCCAAAATAGCTGTGAGTCCTTCTAGACACTCAAATTGTTCTTTTTCTTTGTAAATTTATGTTGTAGAAAATAAATATGTTGCCTATTGAGAATAAAAGTAGAAATTATCTAGCTATTGTTCTGCCTTCGTTTTCCTTTACAAGAACATTTAATGTTAAGTGTGGTTAAATAATTTTTTCATCTAGATCTTCATCATCAGTTTGAAAAAATCAGCCAATGGAACCTTTTTGAAAAAATAAAAATTGATTCTTTTTTTCTTAAAGCTCTTCCAAGTATTTTATTGTTAAATATTATCAAATTACTCTGTGCTATGTGTTATTTATTACAGCTGCTAGCAAAAGAAAACGAAGAAAGCAGAAGAGTGTAAAATGAGGTCAGGAGAGCAAATAACTTTTATTTTATTTTTTTTTTTACAGAGGGGAAGGGAGAGAGATAGAGAGTTAGAAACATCGATCAGCTGCCTCCTGCACATCTCCTACTGGGGATGTGCCCGCAACCCAGGTACATGCCCTTGACCGGAATCGAACCTGGGACCTTTCAGTCCGCAGGCCGACGCTCTATCCACTGAGCCAAACCGGTTTCGGCTAAACAAAATTTTTAAAAGTAAGCCATTAGTAAACAAGTCATAAAATCCTAAAGAAAAAAAACATGTTAGAAGGCCTTGCTTATTTGGGAACTCTGTGAATAGTTACTTGAAATGACAGAGCATAAGGCCTAGACTAAAATACCATATTAGGCCATAAGAAAATACCATATTAGGCCATAAGAAAAATTAGGGCCCTAACCGGTTTGGTTCAGTGGATAGAGTGTCAGCCTGCGATTCCGATCAAGGGCATGTACCTTGGTTGTGGGCACATCCCCAGTAGGAGGTGTGCAAGAGGCAGCTGATCGATGTTTTTCTCTCATCGATGTTTCTAATTCTCTATCCCTCTCCCTTCCTCTCTGTAAAAAATCAATAAAATATATTTTTAAAAAAGAAAAGAGAAGTTAGGGATGTATCTGTCAGGATAGGTTATAAGTGATAACAAACAACCCGAAGGCACAGTAGCTCAACTCAGTGAGTTTATTTCTCACTCGAATGAGTATGTCCAATGTGGCCTGCCCAGAGGCCTGGCTCCCTGTGGTCACTCAGGGGCTCAGGCTGATGGAAACTTCATTTCTGCATTTGCTTCTAGGATCATTACTGCCGTGGGCAGGCAATGTGGCAAACTGAGTGGTGGTTTCATAAAATTCTTCCAAAAGGTAGAACCTATCACACCTAAAACCTGCTTTGGCCATGGAGATGTGAGTCTTAGGGCCATGTCAAAGCTCAGAGTGTACACAGAAAGGCAGTCCTAAGCAAATATCAGAAGGCAGAGAGCCAAGATATGTGGTGAAGTTCCTGGGACCACCACAGTAATCTTAAATGTGAATTTCTGGTTATGGCAATCAAATGAGATTCAAGAGAATTTAGTTCATTCTTTTCTACCATCGATTTTTCAATTTTTAAATTTATTTTATGAGAAATAACTTATTTCATATTCCTCATTTTCAAAATGATAATAGTGATCACTTGTTTTTTAAGAACATCTGTTATATGCCTGACACCACGGTTTGGTTTTTGCCTATTGTTTCAGTTAACTTTACTCTAAACTCCATTTTCAAAGAAGGAAACAATGACTGTGGGAATAAGAATGGAGCTCTGATTCTAAAACCAGTATTTCCTCCACTCTGTTAGCATCTTTCCATAAGTAAAGAATAGGATGATAGTACCACTTGATGGCCCCAAAATAACAAGAGAATAGAGTAAGTGCCATACTTTCAATGAGACTGAAATACTAAAGTGTTGCTGAAATGATAGATAGCAGTTAAACTTGTCAAAACTTAATCTCAGGAGAATTAATATGTCCTTGATTATAAACTCTTAGAAGTTCAGGGCCATATCTAATTTATTTTTATATCCCAAGTGCTTATCACGATTTTTGACATATTGAATTACTCAAAAAAAAATTTGGCTAAACTTTTGAACTGATTAGTATACTGTTTCTAATATTTCCTATTAAATAAAACTTGGACATTCACTTTTAGCCTTTGTCTTTTTTTTTTTTAAAGACAAAAACTCAAGGTACTATTTCATGGAAATCCAAATGAAGAACATCAGTATTAATAAGATTCATTTTACAGGTTCACTGATTTTGATGTGGCTCTCTCCACCTCCTGCTCCCAAGACTACCTGGCAATTTATGATGGTTACAACATCAGTGATCCTCCTCTTGGCAAATTCTGTGGTTCTAAGCTTCCACCAAATGTTAAGAGCAGTAATAACAGTATGCTCCTGGTGTTCAAGACAGATGCATTTCAAACAGCAAGAGGTTGGGTGATAACTTTCCGGCAGACACTGGGTAAGAATTTTGGACATGTAATTCTATTTTTCATGACTGTTATTTTTTGCTTTATTTTATTTCACCTGACTAAAGTTGCTTTTCATTTGTTTAGAGGAATGTCACATAAAGTTTTGGTTTTTAAAATTACTAATAATGTATTCTGATTTTTTAAAAAATAACTCAACAAGTGTACTTCTATAGTATACTAAGGTAAAGTCTGTCTACACAACCATCTGAAATAAGACCCAAACCTTATTAATCATCCATGAAAATGGTGAAAGTTGAGCCTAAAGGCAGTCTAGGCACAGATCAAGACAGAGGACCCATAGCCTGTGTTGACTTTATCCTTAAAATGGTTAAGATCCTTGGAGAATGTTAAGTAAAGACTGAATGGTCAGATGACTTCTGGAAAGATCATAGTGGTACTAGGCTGGAGAAAAGCACAGAGGACCCTCTGGCCTGAGAAGGAAGAAGCTTATCATAGAATTTCGGATGGGAAATGTTGGAGGTTCAAATGAACATAACAGGAATAGAAATAGAAGAAAGGGTAGAGATCCCAAAGGTATTCAGAAGTTAGAATACATTGGAAATACAGCATTTGGAACTTGATATATTACACGAGGACATAAGTTGTTGATGACTTCTTATGAGTAACTTGTTGGATAGGGTGCCTTAGGAGACTATGATTTCGGGAAGAAATATTATATTTAGTTTGGAGCATTTGGAGTTGGAGGGCCTATGAGATAACTAAATGAAGAATACAGGAGGAAGTTGAAGCTTAAGAAACAATTTGGGCTGGAAATAATGATCTAGAGGTAAAGGGAAAAGCTAAATGTGTGGATCAATAAAAAATAGAACCCTGGTTTATTACCACTCCATGTGAGAAATAATTATCTATATAAAATCAACACAGAACTTTAAATCATATAAGGTAGTTAATCAATCCTCTGTTTATCTATAGTCACAGCATCAGTGGCACAATCTAGGTCATTTATATTTGACTCTGGAAAATGTGTTGATTTTTCCATTTGATCAGTATTCTGGAAATGAACAGGTCACCAAACAAATCACATCTTCTGTGAACTCTCATCTCAGAGAAACCTGGAAAACTTCCACAATAAGAATCCTGACTTATTGTTCAAACTCTTTCTTTCTCTTTACCCCATCCTGTGGATAACCTTCATGCCTCCGATTCAAAGCAGAGCTTACCTTAAACTTCTTTGCATTTGGCATGAGTTTTTTGTGTGTGTGCATTTCTTGAGGGAAGCAATTAGATAGTGTTTTAAAGGCTTCACGGTAAGCCACGGACATCATGACAAATTGCATCAGAAAATCACTTTACCACCTACCCTACTTAGTGATATCACCAATAACTTGAAAGCAAGTCTCAGGGGCAGAACACAGGAGGCTGAAAGAAAAATTAATTTTCCCTTGGAGATTGTTTTTGTGCAAAAGAACTCACAAACTCTTGCCTTTAGCACAGACTTTAGAGTCAAATGGCATATATTTGCATAGCTCTTGTTACCTGCTTTCAGGTTTTTCTTTTTCCTAATGCTTTCTCACATGGCCATTGAAATAGTCTCAAAGCACTCCACACGCCTTCATCTGTGTGAGACCTGCCAGCTAGCTAGTGTTCCCCAGCCTCATTAAATTACTATGTTTTTCTGGGCTACAAAGAAGACACTTTTGGATTTATTCTGATTTTTACTGCACTGAAATGGCACAGAAGGAAAAATCTTACACTGTCAGAGGCACCGTTCATCCCTGAGCATCAAACACTTTCAGGTTATTAGAATTTCCCTGGTCACAGTTAGAGAAAGGGTCGATGTGTAGAGAGCAGAAATGGAGCTCATGGCTGCATGTCATGATGGTGACTTCTACCTCTTCTTCATCTTCAAACATCATCAATCACTTGAAAATATTTAGGTAATTTTCAGTGGTAATTTTTTATTGAAAACCCAAGTGTCATAATTTTGAATTGTATGGTGTCACAAAGCTTTCAAGACCTTACATCTGAATTAACCTTTCATCTGCAGAATTTTAATCTTGTTTTGTTTTTTTGTTGTTGTTTGTGGTAAGGAATAGGGGAGGAAGAATAAGAATAGATTGAATTCTGGAGTTTATGAAATCTTTTATTTTTTTGTATGTCCATTTATATGAAACTAGAGGCTCAGTGCATAAAAATTCATGCACTGGAGGGGGGGGTCCCTCAGCCCAGCCTGCCCCCTTTCACAGTCTGGGAGCCCTCAGGGGCAGGAGGTGACCCGGCAATCAGGGGAAGGGATGCCCCCATCACACCTCTGCTGCTGCCACTGCCAGCAGCACAAACTTCAGCCAGCCCTGGTTACCTGAGCCTCGGGCGGCCCTGGGGGGCTGAGGGGACTGGGGGACTCCAGAGGCAGGCACATGGCTGAGGGGACTGGGTGCTGCCATCTTGTGGCTGTGGACACCACCATCTTTGAGAGTGTGGCAATCAATTAGCGTATTCCCTCCTTATTGGCTGTGGGTGCCACCATCTTTGTGACAGAGTCGGGGTAAATTAGCATATTCCCTCTTTATTAGATAGGATGTCCAGGATAGGCAAATCCATAGGGACAAGGTAAAATACAAAAGTAAGTTTATAGCTGTGATTATGTGAAACACTGACTTTATTCTTTTTTTTTTTTGGATGTACATTATTTTATTTCCCCTTTTTAATTAAATTTATTGGGGTGACATTGGTTAATATGGTCATATAGGTTTCAGGCTGGGTTTCTATGTTACAAGATCTGTATATTGCACTTGTGTCCACCACCCAAAGTCAAAGCTTCTCCCGTCACCATGTATTTGGACCCACTTCTCCCCCAACCCCTTCCCTCTGGCAACCACCACACTGCTGTTTGTGTTCACGAGTTTCAGTATTATATCCCACATATGAGTGAGATCATATGGGTCTTAGCTTTTTCTAACTGACATATTTCATTCAGCATAATGTGAGATATTTTAGTTACAGATCTAGATGCACCCTTCACATCCATCCCGCCCATGTAAAGCCACCCTGTGTCTCCCATGAAGAGGAGAAGCAACTTTGTGGGCCACACAGCAGCTTCTTGTTTCCAGCGCAGTCACTTCAGCCCGGAAAACAGTCTCTTCACAGAGTAAATAGTTGATGTGAAGAGGAAACCGTTTTAGTCTGCAACATCTCAGTTCAGTTTATCTTAAAACACTAGAGATTTGCAGTTTTACTATTTAGATGACGCACTTGGCGATACTTTATAAACATCTGTTTTAATTTCTCAGAAATTAGTAAAGAGCCAGCTCACATAATTATGTGATTATCAGGTAAACTCTCCTCGTGCATGTGTTATATTTGCATTGCTAACGGGCCTGAACACATTTTGGGGAAATATCCCCTGGTTTGCTGTTAATTACTAAATGTGGAGTGAAACCGGGCCTGTTCTTCCGTGGAGCTGCGCTGTGAAGGGCCACGTGGTGGGACACAGGGCGGGAAGGCAGAGCAGGCACGTCCAGGAGCTGACCTCCAGCTGCAGTGGAGTCTGCCTTCCTCTTGCTCCCTGCACTCCAACACTACATGAATAATTGATCCCGAATGACTGACGACCAGCAAAATGACCATACTGGGCTGTGAAACCCTGGAAGTATCTGCAAATTGGAGCATTTTTCTCCAGAAAGTGTATAGCTTTTATCTCATTGTCAACAGTGTCACTGACCTCATAAAGTTCAAAAGCCATGGGTCCTGTGGATTTGGCTGAGGTGGGCACGCTCCACGGTACAGAATCTACACTTACTAGTATCCTTGTATTCTATTAACTTCTTCTGGTTGAGTTTCTGCCCCTCCTTAACCACAGGATCTGCTTTGGCCATGACTTTGCTCACCTGTGTCACTCATGAAGCACTTAAGACTTGCAAATGTGTTTTTAAACCAGCAAAACCCCACATCCATTTACTGTACTGGTGTCATAACACAGTGCTGCTCAGTCAGCCTACTCGTAATGTGCTCATCACATTAGACACCAAACTGGTGGATATAGGTTAGATCAAGGATTTACAGTACATGTATTTACTGTGGAGTACCACAGTCATTTTGTTTGTTTCTAAAGCAATGTATTGCGTAACACTTAGGCAAAATGTCAGACTCAGAAACTGAACTTGTCCCAATAAGGTATGAAGTTCACAGGCATTTGGATACATGAGTTGCCAAGGAGAGTGTGAGGCATGACCCCTTCAGGATAACATCCTAGAAGGACAAGGCGTTGCCCTGGAGACGATGGCAATATTAGGGACCAGGGGACATCAGTGAGCAGAGGTTCATGTCATCTAAAGCTGTAAATCCTGGACACATGACTAACACTCCTGGCCCCTTGTAGCTCAGAGCCCACGTGCTAATGATGAAGGCCACTGTCCATCTTCCTTCATCTGGAGCAGCGGTTCTCAACCTGTGGGTCACGACCCCTTTGGCGGTCGAATGACCCTTTCACAGGGGTCACCTAAGACCATCCTGCATATCAGATATTTACATTACGATTCATAACAGTAGCAACATTACAGTTATGAAGTAGCAACGAAAATAATTTTATGGTTGGGTCACATGAGGAACTGTATTTAAAGGGCCAGAAGGTTGAGAACCACTTATCTGGAGTATTTGTCATATGGAAAATGAGTCAGGTGGCATTAAGACAGACTCACATACTTTTGCTATGAAAGAAAAGCAATAATACCAAAGTGCATGTTTAACAAGGACAAAGTTGCCCTGACTGGTTTGGCTCAGTGGGTAGAGCGTCGGCCTGTGGACGAAAGGGTCCCGGGTTCGATTCCGGTCAAGGGCATGTACCTTGGTTGCGGGCACATCCCCAGTAGGGGGTGTGCAGGAGGCAGCTGATCGATGTTTCTCGCTCATCAATGTTTCTAACTCTCTATCCCTCTCCCTTCCTCTCTGTAAAAAATCAATAAAATATATTTTTTAAAAAAAGACAAAGTCAATCACGGCCTACTAGGTGAATCACCCCCAAAGTGAAAGC